TTTAGCCACGGACTCGTGAACAGCACGAGTGTTCTCGTCGGTGCCCACCGACGAGGCTTCTGCTGATGAGGGAGATGCTGGAGGGAGTACCGAAGACAGATCGCAGTCGGACGCGCGAAGGAGTGCCAGGTCGCGAAGAGCGTCGCCGAGTGGTAGAGGGTTGGCCTTGGCCTTGGACATGCTAATAGTCACAAGTACAAAGTGTCGGTAGTACTAGACGCGCGCCGCGAGAACCACAGTACACCGTAGCTGAGAACAAAACATTCAGCGCTGTGGATCGTCTTCTGCTAACTGCCGGCAGGATATAACAGACTTTAGGTGGTGTTTGCCCCGAATGTAGTGGACATAACGAGCAGTATATCTTAACCCTCACAAATTTACAGTAATGACGGGCCTGATTTGCCCCAAACATGGCCGGCTAAACCCCACATTGGGGTCTGAAGGGTACCCCGTAAACCTTCGAATTTAGGCTACCTGTCGAAGGAGTAAGTACTTTGTAACGCATTACCATGTCACTCAATGTGAAGAGCCAGAGATAGTCCATCAACTTGGGCCGAGAAAAGAATCTAGACCGACTACAATGTGACGCGCTATCAATCACTTAACGAGGTTTCAATATCATGGGAAGTACATTTGCTAGCTTCTGTCATTGACCTGGAAAGATTCTGCCAAGGCAATCGCCTGCGAGACGCCAATACCTGGCAGAGTGGCGAACTTCCGCCACACATTCAATGCAGTCGGTTTCTGTAATAATTGCATGTTTGAAGCAATGTCGGGCCTTCATTAGTATCCGTGATTTCGATAGTCTGGTTCTCCGTCAGTAGTTCAAAATGCACGTACCGCCGCTTGACAATATGTCTGTGACGTGTGCAATATGACATACGGACACTGACCGACACACAGTCCGAGCATAATCCAACATTACATAGGTCATAATGCATACACACATCGAAGAGGCCAGACCCCCGTCATAGGATAGGTATAAATCAAATCCGATCCCGTAGGGATCGACGAGTGGATCTCAACAAGAGATTTTGAGGAACGCGCGCTAACCCTCAGTCTGCTCATTCTGGTGCGCGATGGCCACCGCAAATGTGAGCGGCGCCTCGCTCTGCGTGCGCTCTCGCATCAAGCCCCACTGCACCAACCAGTTGTCCGCCTCGTCCTCGGGGTCGTACGCGAACACCGCACGGATCGCCTGTCAACCCCCGTCAGCCTCCTCTGCCCGCTCACACACGCACGCAAGCGCGCACATACGACACAAAACGCTATCGAATGAAGAGAAACACGTACGTCCTGCGTCATCGTTAGCGCCCGCCCGTCGCCCATCGCCTCCGCCGCGGCGAGCCCCTCAGAATGCTCCACGCCCGGCGGCATACTCATAGCGGCGGGGTTCGTGCTCTGCACATCCCACACCTCCTGCACGCGCTTGTGGCGCATCTCCGAGAGCGCGGCGAGGAAGACCGGGATTTGGTCCTTGCGCCGCAGGTGGTAGAAGAGCCGGCCGAGCATCATGCCGTCTGCCGCGGCGAGGCTAAGCGCGTAGATTGAGCCGGACTTGGGTTCGAGGTGCATGCGCATAAGAACGGTGGCTATATGCGGTATTTGTTGGGTTTAACGTACCGAAAGGGGGTGTGCGGCCTCGCCAATCGCGAGGAAGGGGCCGTCTTCGTGCAGCCAGTCGTCCAGATGCGGGCGCTCCACAATGGGCACGGCGTAAATCTGGGTCGCCAACTCTGCCATCTTGCGCAGGCTGGTCAGACAAAGTGAGCAAACCAGAGTGTGACAGCGCTGTGATGGAGAAACCATACTGGGGATCGCAGCCGTTCATGGCTTGGACCAAGTGAGCAGAGTCCACCTCCGATACTGGGATTGGCATGGGGGTCGTCTCAGGAGTATAGACGTGTAGATTGTATACGTCCCCTTGCTGCACACGCTTAATTTCAGTCTGCAATCCGCAGAGTCGCGCGCGAGTACTCACCGAGGGGAAGCCCATGACACCGTAACGGTCGCCAAACCAGGAAACCACCATGCCGACCTTCTGTTGTAAGTTCAGTAGCCCATAATATGAGCAGCCCGCACCGTCTTACATCTCGCTCAAGGTACGGGACCAGCTCCGGGACGGCTGCCATTTTCTCCACGGGGACGACCGTACTGCACTCATCATGAGCACTGACCAGCATGAAGAGAAGCACATCACGTACTTATACATGACGATGTTTTTGCGCTTCATATAGTCCTGTTCTCCGAACATCACCTGCCGAGATAGTGAATGGCAGCCGTCTGCGCCAATGATCACGTCCGCGACGATCTCCTCCCCAGACTCGAGTGTTACGGAGGGCGCTTCGGGCTTGATGTTGACGGACGTGACCTTGGAATTTGCACGGACAGTGACGCCGTACTTCAACGCGGTCTCGTACAGCAGTTTGCGAAAAGCCCCGTACTATAAGTTCGCGCGCGTGAGACGGCGCAGCGACCAGGGCGATAAGGGCGTTTTCTCACTTGCATCTGTATGAACTCGCCGTCACTCTCCACTTTGAAGTCGTGCACCCATTCTCCCTTGGCCACCACTTCGCCAGACTCATCTGCCGGCAGCAATCAGACAAGTAGCACGCACAGTGGGTCTTGAGACCGCTCACAGCGGGAAAACTGCACATATCGCGCCCATATGCTGATTTTCCTGAGCTCTTCTTCCAACCCCCAGCGATAGAAAATTCTCGTCGTGTTTGGCGCGAATCTGCAGCCGCCGGCTAATATTGTCTGGGCGCAGAGCGTTCGGTTCTGGGCGCGCGGCACGCGAAGGCAAATCAAATTCGGGGTCGCTCACCTCCTGGAAGTCGTCGCGCTGCTCCAGGATGGTCACCTTGTGACCTACACGGCTGAGCGCGATAGCAGACGTAAGACCTGCTACACCGCCACCGACAACCACAAACTCAATAGGCAGCGTCTCGGGTGCGCGCTGAATGTTGCCGTGAGCGATGAGCGCCGGCTGCAAAATATGCGCTCACCATCGTCGAAGAAATAGGGATACAGGTCGTGGGGGAGAACGGAGAGGATTGGAGGATGAGAAAGGAAAGAAAGAGAGATTCGATTCACATAGAGAGCCTAGGAGTGAATGAGGTCACATGCGGACACTTCCGCAGATGCAGGGGAGGCTGGAGTTAAGTTCGGCGGGTCTACGGTTCAGGGCAGATCGAATGACATGGCGGTGTTCCTGGTCTGACTCCCGCCCAAACGTTCCTCTGCATTTTTCACGTCTTCGAATCTACTCCGAAATCAGATAACTTCTGCAGATGGCGTGCCCCATCCTAACCCTAGCCAACCAGGCATACGGTTATGTATCACGGACTGCCTGCAGCTGTAGCACGTATAGAGATTGGCGTCGATGGCGATAGACGTCACGAACACTCATTGCAGCTCGATCAAGTTCGACGCTGATAAGCGGCTGGCAAAGGTTAAACACAGCGCCAACTTGTCGCCAACTTATTTCCATTTCAGGATAACTCATCCACACCTTATATAATCACCGGCTAGACTTATGTAATTAACTTGTTGTCGAAATTCAAGCAAGATAACATCTTGCCATTGTCAGGTTATACGTCCTACAACTCATCAACCACTCTGTCCGCAAGTTCCAGAGGTCACTGCCACCATTCCAACAGCCCACCACAGCTCAAACATCGTCAGGGCAACTGGCCCACATGGTCATACGTGTAAATAGGCTTGTAAGTTTTGAAACATACTGCGTCGGCAGGCAAATCATCGTCAGCGCTCAATTTGTAACCTTCGTACCGCGAACCCGGTCGCTCCGCCGATGTAGAACATAATTCAGCCTAACAACCCGGAGGTCTGTCTCTGATGGGAGCTAATCCAATCGTAGTTGTGGCTTTTGGTCAATGATCATACCAACCAACCAATAGCGGGCGATCGTCGACGACCGAGCCAGTTCCAGCATTCTACATGCGATGTGCACACTTGAATCAACTTCCACGTTGCACTGGCCTCGACATCTAGCGTCCAAAGTAGCCTTCGTGGCAGTCAAATCATGATGGAGATGCGACAGTAATACAATAAATGCGGTCCGATGACTGGAGTCGACGTCCTTGCGCTTTCAGCATGTTTCCCCGCATTCGACTTGGCCGGAGACAAATGCACGGCCAGAATTAGCGATGTTCTGGCTGACAGTACACACCTATCGGGATCAAAATATGCGTCATGGCCACGGAAGCTTGAGGATATACAGCAGTTGCAAGGTGCGACGACATCATCCAGAAGAATACATATATGCGCATGTCTCACCTGGCTATTATGGCTGCTGTCGTTTCTTATCACGACAGACATCGCTTCTGCGGAGCACCAGGCTCAGAACCTTTCCCCTCAAGCCCTCATGGTACGGGCACCCGACGCCTCCATCACCTCTGGAGCCAGGACGCCTCATTGAGGACGGCCAACCACGGCGATTAGCTTGTAGTCAATGATAGGGTACAAGGCTGCGACACAGCCTAATGGCCTAGGCCCCCTCCCTCGCCTCCTATCCGTCCGAGGCATTCCATGGGGCCTTCCGCCTTTCTCCGCCGTGCTTCCGACTCTCGGTGCCGTACCAGGCCGTACCGGCACCAACATCCTGGCGCGCAGGGTGCCTCTCGCAGACCTTCGCTGATCAATGTCTGATCGCGCTGCGCCTTCTAGATCGCCAGTCGATCGTGCGGCCCATCCTATATCCGGCCTGTGCGCAACGCCTCGAGGCGCCTCTGTTGCTGCAGCGGCTCCCTCGTAATGATTGGTAGAAGTGGTAACAATGTTGCCGCGCGCCGAAGGTACATATACATTCCGCTACCCGTCCCTGAGGCGCCCTCGTTTGTTCCCTCACCTATATCCCCCCGCACTCTTTGATACCCCTCACGAGCTACTTCCGCACCGCGGACACGAAAGGAAATGGTCTGGCTTCCATTCCAACGCTAGTGTATCACGCGGCGCTAACGGGGCTACTCCACCACGGGTATAGAGAGCATCGGACTTTTTGCCGATTGAATTTGTCGTCCTCGGAGGTGGCATTGCCGGTTTGACCGCTGCGCTGTCTCTCTCCAGGGTCGGCCATCATGTCACGTTGATAGAGCAAGGCCCCGCATTGTCTGAGGTTTGTTCTTCGACCGTATCATAACGCGGGGTTAGACTGAGAACCATGTCAAATTCAGACAGCCCTGTCAGGGGGTTGCAGGCTGGGCCCTAACGTAACGAAGATCCTCTACCGCTGGGGTTTCGAGGAAAAGCTGAAGGCCTGTGCGGTCGTCTCGCAATACACGCAATTTATGCGCTGTGGGTATCCCTTTCCCCGTACACACGCCATTCGAATTAACTTCTGTGGTGACTAGATGATACCGGCCGAGTAACAGCAGACGGTGAATGGATCGACGACTTTCGCACGGAGAGCGGGGGCGAGTATCTGTCAATGCACGTCAGTGGCTTTTCGAGTACAGCCACCCCTCTCGTATCTAAACGTGCTATTCCATCCAGTACGCAGACATGAGGAAGTTTCTGTATGACGCAGCCGTCGAGCACGGCACGACGGTCCGCACAAATGCGCAAGCAGTGGAGGTCAAGGTTCGCCGGGAGAGACCATCCGTCATACTTGCCTCTGGCGAGGAGATTTCCGCGGACTGCATCGTGGGTGCGGATGGCGCCGTTGATTCCCTGTGCCGCAAGGTAATTCTGGGTGGGCCGGAACACGAAGTCTTTAAGAACGTTATGATGTTCAAGTACGTCTTCATACATTGACTTGTGACTGGTGGCCATGAACTCTTCCTCCAGCTTAGTCATTGCCGCCTCCAGTATGCAGTCAGACCCCGAGCTGGCGAAGCTGTTGAAAGGCAAGGTGCGAGCTAAGTAAAATGTACCTTCCATGTTTCTCTAAGATGTATAAAGGAGGAAGGCACGGTCTATGTCTGGTACGGCGACTCGTATGGTGTCACAGGATTCATGACAGTGAGTGTCCTGTCTAATTTCTGCTCGTGAATGAGATGCGACATGATGGCCAAGCAATCTCAGTCAGAAAACGAGTTTTCCCTTCACATATATGCGCCCAGAGAGGAGGGCGATGAACAAGCCAAACGAGCGGAGGGATCTGCCAAGTTGATGAAGGCGTTGACGGGTTGTGAGCCACGGCACGTTTTACTCAGCGTGCGTTTGCGCATCTATCTGACATCCATATTAAGTCTGCGCAAGCTAGCAGAGCGGGCGCACACCGTCATTGCCGTACCCGTCAGCGGCAAAGCACATATGCAGGAGTGGACCCACCCCGATGGCCCCGTGCTGATCGTCGGCGATGCCGCACACCCGATAACGGTGCGCGTTCTGCTTGTGTCGAAGTCCCGCCCACTGACCGGCAGGCTGCAGGCTGGCAACATGTATGCGATGGGGCTCGCGGCTGAGGACGGCATGATGCTCGGACGGCTCTTCCACCATCTGCACCGCAAGGACCAGATTCAATCCTTCCTCGCCGCGCTGTCGACGAAGCGCATGGAGCGCATCGCGAAAGTAAACCAAGTGCAGCGCGTAAACCCACTCGCAATGGCGCTCCCTGCAGGCGTCGAGCAAGCGCGCTACCTCAAGACGACGGTCGAGCACATGGACAACGCAATGGCCGTGGTCTTCCTTGAAGAGGTGCGTGAATGTATTTTCGGTGACGGCGTCTGCTCATGCTGCGATGTTGCACTAGGCTATCCGCACTATTTTCTCATACGACCCGGAGGACGAGGCGGACGACTGGTGGGTCGAATGGGGCCTCTTGCAGGACCGTGCAGCACGCACGGTCCCGTCCTCTGCGGCGATCACAGTGGACATCCACACATAGAATCATCTAATTTCTGCTGCATCATCCGGGTTCAAGGGACGTTTATCATGACGTCTATTGGGAATACGGACTTCTCTTCGCAAGGGCTACAGTAGGACGGACCAATCATTTGGGGTTATTGGGTTGCATGATGTATGGCACTGTATTTTAGACAATCGCTTTCCGCCCATACTTGGCAGCATAGAAATACAAATGGATAATTACCACTTGGCCTACTGCCCCCTCCAGCGAGGTCATCTATCTGTCGGAATCTGCCAAACTGCGACTTTCGGGGTCGTTTTCACGCACGCTGACAAGGAATTCTGATCCCGGCCTTTCGCTCACCATCGAGATCATTATCCTACCAAACGCCGACGCTCTCAGCGCTACAGAATTAGCAGTGCTTTCCTAGTAGGAAGGCCTTTATAACAGAGATCCAGAGCAAAAATGGTTGGTGTCATCTTCGGCATCAGCAAAAGACCTAGATGAATACAAAGGGCAAGCATCTCGACCCTCGAAGTTAAGCGCTGGACCCCTGTGTAAGCCCTCCTGTTCGGGGAAAAGGAGAGAGAGCGCGAGTCTGTGCGCGCGCGGAAGCAAACCAGGCAGCGCCAAACAATGTGACCACAACCTCGTAGCCAGATCTCGCATTCGTCTTTTCCCTACACTAGTGTATCAATCAAATCCCCATGATTTTTGCTCAGGTCTTTCCTCGGTCCGAACGCGCTGCTGAGTGTCGCCTGCCGTACCACGGCAGGCTTCCACTTTTTCAGAACCGCTGCAGATGGGGCTACAGTATAGGACCGGTCACTGTAACACCCAATTTATATGTCGCCCCTGGAATACTTTCCTGACCACTAAAAAACAAGGAATAAATCTCTAATATTGTATTTACATGTACACTATCTATTAAAAAGCTTCATAAGACATTAAGCAAAGGTTGATGTCTTTAGAGGCAAAATACTGACATTGAAAGCGCAGTTTCACCACTCAATGAAACACACAAGTCCAACTCCCACGCCGGCGCACGACCACGTGGCCCAGGCCAGCTAAATTCGAAGGTTTACAGGGCGCCTTTCAGACCCCAATGTGGGGTTTAGCCGGCCATGTTTGGGGCAAATCAGGCCCGTCATTACTGTAAATTTGTGAGGGTTAAGATATACTGCTCGTTATGTCCACTACATTCGGGGCAAACACCACCTAAAGTCTGTTATATCCTGCCGGCAGTTAGCAGAAGACGATCCACAGCGCTGAATGTTTTGTTCTCAGCTACGGTGTACTGTGGTTCTCGCGGCGCGCGTCTAGTACTACCGACACTTTGTACTTGTGACTATTAGCATGTCCAAGGCCAAGGCCAACCCTCTACCACTCGGCGACGCTCTTCGCGACCTGGCACTCCTTCGCGCGTCCGACTGCGATCTGTCTTCGGTACTCCCTCCAGCATCTCCCTCATCAGCAGAAGCCTCGTCGGTGGGCACCGACGAGAACACTCGTGCTGTTCACGAGTCCGTGGCTAAATCGTATGAGTTCGTGCGCGAGGCGCGTGCGGTGA